ACGATTTATATATTTATTATTAATTAGGTTCTGAGGCAAAACTCAGATCATTGCCAACTTGGAAGTAAGTATGAAAACTAACTAAATAACTATTTGAATATAAATAAATCATATACATATTTATATGAAATTGATCTTAAGTATTATCATAGGTAAATACAATATAGGTATATAACATACCCAACAAGAAGTGAATCATGACAGAAAGTTATTTGATTTCTTCGTAATGCATTTTATTCGAAACAAAAAGTTTTGTGTAGTGCAGCACTACTATTTTTATGTACATAACTATATATAGAACATACATACATATACACATTTATATATGCCTATTGTCAATTTTCTAGGAGTACTAACCTATCAGAAATCTGCCTTGAAATTAACTTTGTAAACAGTGATGAGCCTTGGAATTTAATTTATAGCTTCGTTTTATTCAAAATGTGTTTTGAAATCATCTCATTTGAAGCTGGTGTCTCTCAAAAATTAATCAATACAAATTCCGGCCTAGGGCATCTGCACCATACTTTGAGGTAAAATGAATTGAATACAAATTTCATAGAAAATTATGATTAGTAAATTGTGCAAGATGAGTACAAGGAATAGGCAATCGTTTAGTAAAGTTGCGATAACCCCGGATCAACTGTAGACTCTGTAGTCTCTGGCACTTCCAGATAATCGACTGCGGCGAATCTGGCGCAGTGCAGCAACAACAACAACAATAACAACAATAACAACAGCAACTACACAATGAACTGTCATCAAGACGAGATTAAGGCTGGCGACATCAAGAACGAGAACTAGAACTACTTAGAACTATGCCTCTATTTGTATCTCCCCATTCATTATGTATGTGTGTATGTGTGCTTGTGCCTGTTTGTATTGATGAGTCGAGTAACTTGCGATTAGGTTTGAACTTTTGATTTCCGACTGTCTGCCATTATGTTCAAAATCAGTATCAACTTAGCCACCAGGGAGTTCAGAACATGGAGCTGCCTACTGGGAGGAGTCGTCTGCTCTGGCAGCTACTACTGTTGCTGGTGTTGGGCGCTTGCCACGCCCAGTTCGATGAGGTACATGACGAGAGTGAAAGAGAAGCTTGGCTCCAGGGTGTGTACACGCCGCAGCCTTTGCGGGTGGCACCCTGGCAGCTGGAGGCAGTTACACCGCCTCCGCCACCGCCGCCAAGTGGCGGAGTGCATGTGCCCGGCGTGGGTCAGGTGTTTGGCCAGCGCGGCTATAAGTTCATTAAGAACCGACCCATCGATGCGTTCTTGGGCATACGCTACGCCCTGGTGAACAGTGGCCTCGGACGTTTCCAGGCAGCCAGAGCGGCGCCCTACCAGCCGATCATCAATGCAACCCAATCGAGCCCCAACTGTGCCCAGTTCCCGGAAGTGCAGCGCCTACAGTTGGCAGAGTCGCGCGGCGAGAACGTCGACGATTGCCTTACTCTGGATATCTACGCGCCCGCGGGCGGACGCGAGCTGCCCGTCATGGTCTTTGTGCACGGCGAGATGTTGTTCGACGGCGGCGCGGAAGAGGCGCAGCCCGACTACTTGCTCGAACACGACGTGGTCCTGGTCTCCATCAACTATCGACTGGCGCCATTCGGCTTTCTGGCGGCCCTCACCGAGGAGCTGCCCGGCAATGTGGCTTTGTCGGATCTGCAGCAGGCCCTCGAATGGGTGCAGCGCAACATTCGTTACTTCGGCGGCGCCAGCAGCCAAATTACGGTCGTTGGGCAGGCTGGCGGTGCCACGCTGGCCCACGCGCTCAGCCTGAGCCCCAAGACGCAGCACTTGTTCCAGCAGCTCATTTTGCAGTCGGGCACTGCCTTGAATCCCTATCTGATCGACGAAAGGCCACTGGACACGCTGGCCACCTTCGCTCAGCTCGCTCGCTGCCCCAGCGCTGGCCGCAACCTCAGCCCGCTCTACGAATGCCTGAGCCGCCTGCGCACATCCCAGTTGGCCAGCATCTTTCAGCAGTTGCTGGAGCAGAACGAGCCGCGCGGCCTCAGCTTCTTGGGCGGCTTCAAGCTGGTGGTGGGCGATTCCCTTGGCTACCTACCTGAACATCCGGCGGCGCTTGTCGCCAGCAACAGCGCCAACAATACCTTAAAGCCCGCTATTATCGGTGCGACCAAGGATGCCAGCGCCTTTATAGTCTCCCGTAAGTGATTCAGATTAGACTAAAGACTCTTTATATAAGGTTCGAGAGGAAATCCTTTATAGAAGTGCTTTCTACACTCTCAATATACAATATATTCAATGATTTCGTTTATTTTTGTTCAGGTTTCTACGATCAAATTCAGCGCTTGCAGTCACAAAATATCAGCGATTACATCAATGTGGTGCTGCGGCACACCGCCCCGCCTCAGCAGCATAAGATATGGCATGACTTGGCTGTTCGCGAGATCTTTACGCCAGAGCAGTTGCGTTATGTAACCGCTCGCAGCGTGTCGCAGGGCTTGGTGGAGCTGAGCAATCTCATATTGTATCGGGCTCCCGTTGTCTACTCGATTCGTTCGTCCTACAAGAAGAATCCCACCTATCTGTACACCTTCGACTATCGCGGCGAGTATCATCGCTTTGCCCACTTTGGCAATCCGCTGCCGTTCGGCGTGGATGCCTCGCTGAGTGACGACTCCGTCTATCTGTTTCCCTATCCGAAGGATGCTAGCAATTTGAATCCCGAGGATAAGTCGCTAGCCCGCGCCGTAGTTGCCATGTGGGTGAACTTTGCACAGACTGGCATTCCGAATCCGAACCCTAACGTTTGGCCCAAGGCGTCATCGGAGTATGGCCCGTTTTTGCGCTTTACCAATTCGCGGCAAAGCATTTTGGAGCTAGACCAGCACTTTGGCGAGAGCATCAATGTGCCTAACATATATGCCCAGTACTTCAACGCCACCAACACCAGCACCACCAGCACCACCACAACAACAACCAGACGTCCGTACTACCCCGCACAGCCTTACAGGCCACCCCAGCAGCCCGAGTACAGACCACCACAACAGCCTTACAGACCTCCCCAGCTGCCCGAGTACAGACCACCCCAGCAGCCCGAATACAGACCACCAGCCTTTAACGATTACTACGCCAGGGAGCAGGAAGTGCGCAGGCAACAGTTGCTGCGTGAGCAGGAGGAGCGGGAGCTGAAGTTACGTGAGCAACAGGAGCGAGAGCAGCAACAGCAGGAGGCGCTCTTGCGCGAAGAAGAGGAACGCCAACGAGAAGAGCAGCAACGCCAAGCAGAACTGCAGCGAGAGAAACTGCTGCGAGAGCAATTCGAGCGAGAGCAGCGACAACGTGAGGCGCAGGAGCGCGAAAACGCGGCTAGGCAAGATGTGGACGAAGACAACGAGGATGAACGAGAGCTGCAACAGCGCGAATACGAACTAAGGCAACAGCAAGAACGGGAGCAGGAACGCGAGCAACATGAGCGCGAGCAACAGCCACAGTTGGTGCCTATTGACTCGGAAGAGCAACGTCTGCAGCAGGAACGCGAGGAACAGCAGCGGGCACAGGAGGAACGCGATCAGGAGTCACGAGAGCAACATGAACGCGAGCAGCAGCAACGTGAGCAACTGGAGCGAGAACAGCTGGAGCGAGAGCAACGTGAGCGAGAACAGCAAGGAACAGGCGAACAGACATTCCCTGCGGATGATGAAAATCCGCCAGAGCCAAGTGCCTATCCCACCTACGAGGAATATGTCAAAGCCTACACGAGCTGGGTAGAGGAGCTCAACAATCGCTACAACCCAGAGGACTTTGCAAGTGCTGAGCAGGAGGCATCGCCTGACGACGCGCCACTCAACGACCCCTATGCCCAGCCAGACGAAGAGCCTCTGTACTCCGATAACACTCCACGACGAATTAAACTCATGCGCAGATATCAGTGATTTAGCACCTAAATATAAATATAGAAAGTAATCACTGCCCTATTTCATTTCGATTTGTTAGCGTATATCAACAGACATTTTCAATTTTCGTTTAAATAAATAAATTTATTTGCTGCTTTTTACTTAGTAAACCTGGCCGTTTTATTGTTGTATGGTGATAACAGACCTTAACGCAGGGGCAACAGACCCCAAAGTTATGCAACAATCTTTGGCATAGTGCATTAAAAAAAAAAAAATAATAATAATTTGTTTTTTTAATGACAGAAATTATTTATAGCTTTCTAAATTTATTTATATTTACATAGAGGATATTTGTTAGATTTCAAGTCAGCTTGCATGCGTCTTGATAGAATAATTTCAAATTACTCGAATGCCAGAAAGTCTGATTCTGATTCTCTGAACGAAAAATGCAAACAAATAAATTTAATATTTAAATGAATGTATAATCTATGATTTTCCTACATACTTTTTTATTAGAATTCATTTTAGAAAAGTTTATGTGAATTTAATTATTGTATTTTTCCTTTCTCTTGTATTCGATAATATTCTATAAGGCTTAGCTCCTGCATAATCAACCGTGACGTACGCATAAATGATGGCATTGATTATTAAGCTATAACCTTTGCCTATAATTAATTAATTTATGCACAAATATTTTACATGTTATAACAACGTTGGTTCAGCTAAAATCTCTGTCAGATGGATAAATATGCATAGATGTATATACATATATATTATTACAAATGCCATTGAACCCAAGTCTGAGCCGCTTAATGAGAGCGTCCAGGCAAGATCATTTCTATTTGCAAAGCCATATAGCAAAGTAAATACTTTCACCCACCGCAACGACTGAATAAGCTTAAGATAAAAACCAGTAGCATCAAACCCAATGAATTCAGCAAAATTTTCAAATTAAAATATCTAAAATTTAAATGGGAATTACCTCTGGCCCGCAGCTCTGAAAGTATAATTGAACCTAATCAATCCAATGCGAGGCGCCGACTTTCATTGTGCGTAAAACAAACAAACTGCCAATGCCCTAATGGAGATCCCCGACTCTGTCTGTCGATTGCTTTTAGCTCTTGGCCAGCTGGTATTAATTGTCTGTTCGCTGCAATTATATTGGGCCGCAGGGGATCGAGATCGATCTGCCAAGATGGGGAGAAAAATTTAATCGATCTGCAGCTTAACAAATTAGTTCAGTCTTTAATTAGAAGCGAACTTCGTAGAGAACCTCAAAGGCCATTAGCAAATTGCTGTCTAATTTCCCTTTTACTTTTGTTTGGATTCAATCAACGCCGCTGCAAGAAACCAGAGCAAACAAAGTCAACCACGAATTTATTGGTAGCTGAAATGCAAAATAATGGGACGACTACAGCAGCGCAACGTAGATGGCCATTGCTTCATTTCTATTTTTTATTTATTAATTTTTATTTTACTTTTTTTGTTTTTTGTTTTTGATTTATTTTAATCTTTCGTTTTCTATTTCGCATTCTGCTTTTCGCATTCTGCTTCTTAATAGTATTCGCGCACCGGAGTGAAACTTTTACTGTGGTCAGGCAAAGCGATCGGACTAAAATCTAATCGCCCACTGCTGTCTAAGATCAGTTGAGTTTCGTACTTATGCGAGCGCTGTCGCATCTTGGCCAGCTTCACAAAATCCAAGATGCAGTTTTTGGTTTTGTACGCGCTGATCGCACTCGGCGCAATTCTCGAGGCAGAGGCACGTGTGCGCGGCCGGCTGTACGATGAGGAAAAGGATACTATTCTGGAGTTGCCCAAGCTGGGCGCCATTCAGGGCAAAATAGTGGAGACGGCGTGGACCAAGCGCGAGGTGCTGCAGTTCGTGGATGTCCGATATGCTGAGCCGCCGACGGGACAGCATCGGTTTAAGGTAATAGAGAGAGAGAGATAGAGAGAGAGAGGGGGAGACAGAGAGAGAGAGAGAGAGAGAGAGAGAGAGAGAGAGAGGGAGAGACAGAGAGAGAGAGAGACAGAGAGAGAGAGAGACAGAGAGAGAGGGCCAGAGAGAGAGAGAGAGAGAGAGAGAGAGGAAGATGGAAGGAGTTAACAGAGTAATTTAGAATAGAATATTTGTTCAATTAATTCTTAGCTGAGTCTAAATTTTTATTTTCATTATACCCTGAACTAATTGTAAATGGGAGGTGTGGTAGCCCCGACAAAGTATATATACTCTGGATCAGAGCGACAAACTGAGTCGATTTATCCCTGTCCGTCTGTCCGTCGGTCCGTCCGTATGTATGAATGTGCCAATGTCAGAAAATATATGTAAGGGCTAGCGACTAGAGCTTTCTTACATTCATTTATATTATTTTAATTAATTTAAATTTAGAAATATTTTATAGTTTTTTACCATACAAGTTTTTTGCGAAATGCTTTAAAGCATCTTCAAGTTTCTCTAGCGATCATAAATAATGCAAGACGTTCGGTACTACATATTTCGTTGTCTCAGCTCCATCCGCTCGACGAACATTTCACCCGAAGCTCTAAGCCATTTATAAGCAGAAATAGACCAAACGAAAACATTCACCCAGCTCATTAATATTTATTTAAGCCCAGACCTAATCAGGGCTAAGAGCTGCTGGTAACACCTAAAAGGGGCAAGAATCGTTAAGATACGAATTTTCGCTTGATTGGTCGACAATAAATTCCGTACACTAATTAGGGCAACGTTTATTGTGCCCGTGGTAGGCCCATCAATCATCGGAATCTAATTGTTGTGCTTTTTGCAGCCGCCACGCCCCATTGAGCCCTGGGAAGATGTTATGGATGCGACAGCTGAGAAAATCGGCTGTCCGTCTGTCGTTTCGATGAACGCCCTGCAAAAGCTGGACGATGTGCTGGACGTGGAGGACTGCCTTACCATGACCATAACCACGCCGAACGTGACGGCCAGCCTGCCGGTGCTGGTCTACATACACGGCGAGTACCTCTACGAGGGCAGCAACTCGGAGGCGCCACCCCACTATCTGCTGGAAAAGGATATAGTGCTGGTGACGCCACAGTATAGACTGGGGCCGTTCGGCTTCCTCTCGACCAAAACCGACGAGATACCCGGCAATGCCGGCGTGCTCGACATCTTCTTGGCCCTGCAATTCGTAAAGCACTTCATTAAGTATTTTGGCGGTGATCCGAGCCGCATCACGGTGGCCGGCCAGGTGGGTGGGGCGGCCATAGCCCACCTGCTCACCCTGTCGCCGATGGTGCAGCGCGGCCTGTTCAGCCAAGTGATCTATCATTCGGGCTCGGCCATTATGCCCATTTTCCTGGAGGACAATCCGCGCAAGCACGCCCAGGAGATCGCCCAGAAGGCTGACTGCCAGATGGTAACTGTGCGCGATCTCAACAAATGCCTAATGGAGCTGAGCGCCTTGGAGCTGCTGAATGCATTCATGGAGCATGCGGTAAGTGATATCTTTCGCTCTTCAAGCGAGCTTTACTAATGTATTCTGCTCCACATACTAATTTATGGGCAGCTCGAGAAATCTGATCTGGGCATTGGTCATACGGGCGGCATACAGTTCACAATTGGCGGTCCCAGCGGGGTGCTGCCCAAGCATCCATATGATCTCATGCTGGAGTCGAACTTCTCCTACCCCGCCATGGGTGGCTGTCCCAAGAATGCGGGCACACGTGTGCTCAATGAAATCGTGGAGAACGACTTTGAGGGCAAGATACCCGATGACGAATACAATACGTACGACTATATCGATCACGTCATACGCCAGGTGGTGGGCACCGACAAGACCATGCTGCTGACCAGCTTTGTTACCCACGACTTTTTCAACCGCCAGCTGCTTGAGAACGGAACCTTCGACACTCTGATTCCACGGCTAATTGATGTGAGTAGGAGTAGAAGTCTGTTAACTGGTCTATTCAAAATGCATATCTCTTCCAGGTGGCGGGCACCTTGAACCATAAGCTGCCCGTGCTGTTGGCGATGAACATGAACAACAAACACAATCCGGAGAACACGTTTCTCTATTCATTCGACTATGCGGGCGAGTTCAATAGGTATCGCGACATGGACGAGGAGACGAACATGCAGAGCCCCTTCAAAGCTGGCGTCTCGCTCACCGACGAGGCGCTCTATCTGTTCCCCTATCCCGATCATGTGAAGCGCCTGAGCCCACCCGATATGACGATGGCCCATCGCATGGTCGAGCTCTGGACAAACTTTATAATTACCGGCAATCCCCTGGGCTCCTATCGGTCCGGCTATTGGCCGCCCATGACCACGCTCTATGGCCCCTATATGAAGATCGACGAGACCTTGACCATTGGCGGCAACTACTTCACTGAGTTCTCGGCCACGCTGAAGGACGAGGAGCAGGGCCACAGTCTCATACGTGAGATTTACTACTTGCGCAATCGAGCACATCGCAAGGTCCTCGGCCAGGCGCAGCGCAAGAAGCAAGCGGCGAGCCAACTCAAAAAGCTGGAGGTGCGAAAGAGTCTCGTCAAGCGCCCCAATCGCAACAAGATACGGTTCTAGGCGTCAGGCAACTAGACCATTAGCTTACCAGTATTTCTAATAAGAATCCGTACATAAATTATAATAATTTAATTGAATTTAATTTAAATTAAAGAAGTCGCGCTAGCTTTCCTATAATACAATAATAATTAATGGATGAGTGGAAGGGTAGGTAGAGGGAAGAGTGGAGGGGAGGGTGGAGAGGGGAGTGGAGGGAAGAGAGGAGGGGAGAGTGGAGAACAGAGTGGATGGGAGAATGGAGGCGAAAGAATATTATAATATTTTTTTTTTTTTTTTCAATATTTAGCTTTGAAAAGAAGGTAACACAGAGCTTCAATTCAAAGCGAAATTATTATAAACACCATAGATAATGACAGCGCGGATAATATTATATTGATATTATTGATATTAATATTATAGTCTTTGAGGTATGTTAAGTTACATAATATATACATATATATATATATATATATATATATATATATAGTTTACTTCCTTCTGCATTTTTACATTTTAACAAACCCATTTTACATTCATCTTCGATTTTCAATGGGTTCAGGGTATCAAAATTATAGTTTTCGGCAGAGTTATTGATGTGCTTTAGTTAACGGCCAAACACTAAAGAAACAAAAGAATATTTTCTGCATAAATTCAAATTAGTCTTAATAAAAGAAAGCTTTTTTAATAATTTAAGCATTTCTGAAATTTATATTCGGAACAATAAGTTATTCAATTTATTAGATTTTGTGAATAAATTAACTTATTTAAATAAATCTGAGCTTAATGTTGTATGCGTGCCGATTTTCTAGCTATGAAAACCAAGTTCTGGCCACGCGCCTCGGTGGCTTCAATCTCCTCGTTGGCTTCCTCCTGTTCCGCGTCCTCTTCTTCGTCTGTCTCTTCTGCGGCTGCTGCTTGGTCCTTGTTGAGAACATCGCGTAGCACTGCCTCCAGTTCGTAGTAATCCTCATTGACGAGATTGTAGCCCTGCTTCACCTCCTGCACTCCAATGCTATACTCGTCCAGGTAATTGTCCCCAAAGCTGACTGTACGTCCAATATGCATATATGGACCAGTTTCGTCATTCATCGCTGGCCAGGCAGGCACACCCGCCGCCTCGGGTACGCCGTTGGCCGCAAACGAGGTCCAAAGGGCAACCATGCGCTTGGCAATCTTGACATCGCTGTTGGCATTAATCATGTTGATGCGCGGCCAGGGGAACAGATAGAGATTCTCGTCGGTCAGGCTGACGCCCATGTCGAAGGGCACATCGATGGCCTCGTCCTCGCCTGTGGCATAGCGATTCAATTCGCCCTCATAGTCAAAGGTATAGAGGTAGGTGCTGTTGGGCAGCTTCTTGGCGTTGGCCTGGAGCACCAGCAGCACAGGATTCTTCAGCGCAATCGTGCTGCACAACTAGGTAGAGAAGAAGTAAATATATGAGTTTCACTTGAGATAATTGAATAGAGTTGTAGCTCACATCAATAAGACCCGGCGTAAGGCGCTTGAAGCTGCCATTCCGGATGTCCTCTGCACTGAAAATATATTCCTCGGCAAACTCCCGCCAGGAACTCGTGGGATCGGCGCCATTAATCTGCTGAATGATTGTCTCAATGTACTTCTCGCCGGACATCTTGGCATCTGAAGTGCTCTCATTGAAGCTGTCCACAAATAGATCTATGGAGGAGAGGTTATGATAACGTAAACTTTGTTCTTCGAAGGATATCCTTAATCTTCAGGGAATTACTTACCCCTCATCAGGAAGGTGCCGCCATGCTTGACAGTGCCGCCCAAAGTGGGATAGGCCGTGAACTTCTCGGCAGCAAGCAGTCGACCCGGATGCTGGGGCAGAATGCCCGACGGTCCGCCAATGACCAGCTGGACACCACCGTCGGCACCGGAGGCGACTAGGGGCTTCTGTTCGCCATACACACTGAAGGCAGCCAGCAGCATTGTGGCATTCATGCGATTGAAGCACTTGTGCAGGGAGTCCATCTTGGTTAGCTGCTTGCAGCCGGCAATGCGTCCGATTTCCTTGGTCGTCGCCAGCGGGGAGTCCGTGATGAAGGCCGGCGACAGCGCAGTGCCGGACATATAGATGACGCGATGGAACAGGTCCTTTGGCACAGCCGGGCTCAAGGTGAGCACATTAATGAGCGCCGCTCCGCCCACCTGGCCGAACAGAGTCACCCGCTCCGGATCTCCGCCAAAGTCCGCGATGTGTTCATTGATCCACTTCAGTGCCAAAATCAGATCTGTCACAGCCGCATTGCCGGGCATTTCGTCGCTCAGCGTGGAGAGGAAGCCGAAGGGACCCAGACGATAGCGCACCGACACTAAAACCACATCCTGCTCCAACAGATACCCAGGTGCCGCCTCTGTTGTGTCGCCGTCATAGAAGAAGTCACCGTGCACATAGACCATGACAGGAGCTGGCTTACCCTCCAGCTAAAGACACTTTCATTATACGTGATATTCAAGTGGATGACATCAAGGTAAACCCACCGATTTGGTATTGACTGTCAGGCGCAGACAGTCTTCCACATCAACGCCGTTCTCCTCCATTTTGGCGAACTTCACCAAATCCTGGATGGAGGGGCAGCCGGCATGATTACGATGTGCCTGCAGGATGCCCTTCCAGGGCGCCGCCATTTCCGCCGGCTTTTAGACCAAATGCAAAATTGAATATATAATTTGAATGTAAACATTTTTTATATTTTATAGACAAGCTAAAAACCCTTGAAAATTTTAGTAGAAAATGGGAAAATGCTTGACTTCAGATATTGGAAATTGATTTCCCTTAATTTTAATGAATATTTTTAAAAAACTTTCTGATGGTTTAAAGACTGCGCTATTTTGTAATATGTGTACAAAATAACATAAAAGTAATAATATAATAATAATATATAATATTCCTCTATTTTTTCCACATTTTTGTATGAAGCTAAAAATATTTTCCATGGTGCTTAAATAAGTTTTTTTTTCTTGTAAGGGATATCTATAAAATGTGTACATTGACCTAAATTGAGATACATAATTAAATCGAATTAAAATTCACCCTGCTTAAAATTAAAATAAATACTGACCCAAATTTCCCAAATACTAATTTCAAATTTAAAATCGAAAATCAAGTCTAAATCTCACCTTAAAACGCTCCGCCTTGCCGTATGGGATGTCTAGGAACTGCATCACTTTCTGGCCAGTCCATTCCGTGAGTAAAGTGCGGCCACGAATCTTGCCCAGATCCGGCAACGTTGTGGTAAACACCTTGGGACTGGGCTTGTTTTGCTGCTTTTTGTTTGGCCTTTGATTTACTGGTCTTTGCGCCAGTTGCGGCTTGGGGCGCCTGTTGGGATTTGCCGGCTTGGGCCGCTGTAGCTGTTGCTGATTTTTCTTATTCTTATTCTGAGCCGAGGCGCCGCTGATGGCAGCCAGTGCAAGAAGCGCCACCACAAGCAGCAAGAGAATCTTCCGTAGGTTTGCCATGATTTGACCCGTTGCCGTTACGCGTTCAAAGGCAACTGTTGACCAGATTGGTTGGCAACTCAAAAAGAAGACTTTCGCAACGGGTCTTGAGGCGGCGCCGTCTTAATTAAGTATCTCTTAACCGGGCACCTGGCGGCGGTTCTATTTTAGATGAGAGTTCGAGCGAAATGGGGTCAAGTCGCTGTTAACAATTCGATTGAACTCAAGTTGAGTTCCCCTTGCCTGCCACAAAGATTCATAATCCAATTCGATATTCGCAAATACAGATTATGAATATTTATCAAGTTGACTGCCAAAGCCGAAACCCGTTTGCCCCAAGGGGCACACGCTAAGAGTCTCAGAGTCTCTTTTACAGATTATGCTTGATTTTGAAAGTAAAAAGCCGAGTCCCAACTAATTCTTCACCCATTTTAGGCAAATATGGTCAAAGTGTATGCAAATAAAATAAACTCTGACCAAGTAGTGATTCAATTATGTACGAATTTGCTTAGCTGTCAACGCACGGTATTTGGCCGTTTTTCTATAACGGAGTTAACAGTTCCAAAGAATTCATATTTCATGGGTAAGTAAACATTTTCGAGCTTCAAGTTAATCTACGTATATTTGTATTACATTCGTTAATACTTTATTAATAAGTTAAACAATAATAAATAATAATTATATATTAAAATGCATTAGTCTAGATGTCTGTAAGATGGCATTCACTAGCTTAAAAAACGCACAAGAACAATTGCATTGAAATGCGCTAAAATTGTTTCTGCTTCTTGTTCCGCAGCGAGCATGAGTTATTGGGCAAGCCGAAAAATATATTTGAGAATCAATTTCACAGTATATAATATTTTTTCTTTTTTGTTGAGACAAATGCAGAAGAATGAACAAACCGGCAGAAGCAGCAGCAGCAGCAGATCAATATATGCTTGTATGAGGAACACCTGACAGTGGGGATTTTCAGAGTGTGAGTGTATATATATATATATATATATATATATATATATATATATATATATATATGTGTGTGCGATGGTGTATCGCCCACGCACAGTACACATATTTATATGTAATATAAGCGCACAACCGATTTTGTGATGAGTATTTCGTTGTCATAGAAACTGGTTTGAATTGTCACATTGCCATTTAAGACTTTAGCTGGCATCATTTGGGACTCGGGGGCCGCTTCAATGGTGCTCTGCCATGTGTTGGTGGTGTTGGCGCCCACGAAGCCCATCTCGAAGAACCACTCCTCCATGATTCGACCCTTGAAGAGCACCTTCTGGTCGAGTCGAAAGTTTTCCATTGACTCAATCGTGCTGAAGTTGATCTCACGCGATACGGCGCGCATGTCCAGAATTTTAACTGGCACCCGCGCCTCGTGTTCCACGTCCGGTGCCGAAAAGTCTTTATTCTCCTGCCATATAACTTTGCCGGTGTCCGCATCGCGCAGTATCATGTAGTTGATCTGAAATCCCTTTTGGATTTTGTCGCCTGCACTGAGGTCATCGGATCCCATATTAAAGCCACTATATGTATCACAACCAGGAGGTTATTATTTTTGTCCGTTAAATTTGGTTTTTGCAGACCAGATTATATTTTTGGAAATAATCAATGTTTATTTTTAATGCTAATTATGTGAGTAGCCGTGTATTTAGTTTGTAGAATACATATGTACGAGCAGCCGTATTCGCTAACAGCTGTCTCAGCTGCGAGACAATCGATTAGTTGTGTCAGCAGGGGACTAGTGTTGTTAAACAGTGTCACAGCTATCGATAGGTTTCAAGAAATAATCAAGAGAATTAAATTAGTACTACAAACTCTAAAAGGCTTTTAAAAAACTGGTATAAGTTTATTTAACATCTAAACGAGTATAACTAGAGTTAACGACAGTTTCAATCGCGTTTTTTTTTTTTTTTTTTAATTCTCGTGTATCTATCCGTCTACTGATTCGCCCAACGACAGTTGTCTTAGAACCATCCAACAGCTGTTAATTTCAAATTCAATCTAATAGTTGCAGCGCGCTGTTATGGAAATATTTTGCCGGTGTAGCGCTGTTAGAGTACTGTTAAAAAAATACTAGTTGAAAGTCAATAAAAAATAAAAAAAAAGTTAAGTTGGTGTTTTTGTGCGAGTAGCAATACGTGGACTGCTTGGCTTTCAATTTCATTTCCGTTGTTCAATTGCGCACAATCAACGACTGGTAGCGCCTCGATAAGAGCCGGCGTAATTGCTTTACACACACTTGTCACTCAAGCACATACATAGAAAGTGATAAATTACCAAAAATGGTCGATGTTATCAAAAAGGGCGCACTGCTTCTCATGAATCAGAAGTGCTATGACAACTACTTTCTCGAATACAATTTCCTCGATGGTGAATACGACGACCTTCGCCTGTCTCTGTCAAAGATAAGTTAACAATTATATTTCCATTTACAGTTTCATGCTTCAAGGCGCTACTGAGCAAAGGTCTCGGCATCGGCATCATCGCCGGCTCTGTGCTGGTAAAGGTGCCGCAGGTGCTGAAGATTCTAAACAGTAAATCTGGTGAGGGCATTAATTTGATGGGCGTCATGCTGGATCTGCTGGCCATCACATTCCATATGTCGTACAACTTCATGAACGGCTATCCATTCAGCTCCTGGGGCGACAACACTTTCCTCGCCATCCAAACGGTGGCCATTGCAGCGCTAGTCCTCTACTTTGGCGGACGGAAGCCACATGCGTTCATCTTCGTAGTGGCCTATGCCATACTGCTGTATATTCTCAATTCCGGTCTGACGTCCATGAAGGTTCTGTTCGCCATACAGAGTTGCAATATACCCATCCTGCTGGTGGGCAAACTATCTCAGGCAGTGACTAACTATAGGGCCGGCTCCACGGGCCAGTTATCGGCGGCCACCGTCATCATGATGTTCGCCGGCTCCGTGGCGCGCATATTCACATCCATTCAAGAGACGGGTGACACAATGATCATCATCACATTTGTCGCCTCGACCTTTGCCAATGGCGTTATATTCAGTCAGCTGTTATACTACTGGAACAAGCCCGTGGGTGGAGCTGTCAAGCGGGACGCTCCAAAGGTCAAGAAGGTCAAGACCAAGAAGGATGACTAAGTTGTAACAGCGTAGTATTAAGATTCAACACTTTCTCGACAAGATTGAACAAAGATCAAAACTAAATAAATTTATTAATTTAGCAATTGAAATTAGAAGACATCCTAGTTTTATTATTTATCATTTTCAAAGTGCTTTCGCAGCAGATCCAACGCCCTGAATCGATGCGAAATTGTGTTCTTCTCCGATTTGGGCAGCTCTGCATAGGTTTTATCGTAGCCCTTGGGCTGAAAGACTGGATCCCTGTGGGCAAAATAATATTAACATCATACTCGATAAATTTCAGTCCAATGCGAACCAGCCAAAGTCACGCGGGCCACGTGGTTCCACAATGACGCCCTCAGTGATGCCCTGAAAGATTTGCGGCTCGTCCGCGCAGCTCTCGCAATATGCAAATGTGCAAATAGCACGTGCGGATTTGTCCTCCCAACCACTCAGCATGCGATGCAGGCCTTCGGGTCGCAGTTTCTCGAGGAACCATTTAATGTACGGACCAGGCAAGCCCTCAAGCGCATTGAAGCACAGGCTGGTGTCCTCTATGAGCACTGGCCCATCCACTTGCCGGGCCGCTTCCTTGCATTTCTTCACAGCAATCTCGTCAATCTCACCCTGTAGCTCCGGCAAATCAACCTTCTTCGAGATGATCGTGCGGGGAAAATTGGGCCCAAGTATGGCGACCAGTTCCTCCAATTTCTTTGCATTGCCCGTCACAAAAGTAATTGGTTTCGACATGATCAGCTATTGTTGTCGCCAATTTAATACATGCGTAAGTAATTTGTATGCATCGTCTGTTATGCCGGCACATTCCAGAGATGAGCCGATAGGTTGCGCCATCAGCTGATCAAGGAATGGCAGAAGGACAGGGTCGTTATGCATTTGAACTGGCCAATGGAGGCAAATATTTAACGAACAAAAATATAAATAGTGCCACGTTTCATTAAAGTTTATCTTTTTGCACAGCTTTCTTCTGCCTTCTTCTAAACGCTAATACAACATAGATGGCTATTTATACTGTTCTATTTGTGCGAAGCACATTTTTATTGGGTCCGATGTCTCTTAATGTCAACTTTGAGTACAGTATAGACTCGCTTGGCGTTTATGAGGTTGACTTTTAGTGAATATAAGATCAAATTATATATGTAATTGCTAAAAAAGTGTCATGTCTATAGCTTCAGTACTGTTTGAAAAATGTTACTAGGCAGAATGCACTGTAATGCAATAAAAATGTTTATTGGCGCAATTCCATGGTTAATTAACAGTTTCCGTTAAATTGATATCGGATAAGAATTCTGCAACGTTTTTTTTTTTTAACTTTTAACTTGAGAATTCAGTTGAAGTAAAGTGAGTTATATAAATAACTTATTCTAGACCTTTTTCTACACATGAACAATATAGGCAGCTAATTTGATTTATTAATTATTAAGTAAATGGGTAAGAGTACTCTTACTCCAATGATCGACTTGGAAATACCCTGTTATATTAAAATTAAAATAATTAATTATTTAAATTAATTATTTCCTTTTTCTATTGTTTGTATTTTTTTTTTTATCAATCTTATTTTGTTATTGATTTTTTTAGTGTTATTATTAACAATTTCAACATTTGCATATACAAACATGTGGTACAAAAATATTCAAAATGAAAAATTCACATCAAAATTAGCGCAAGGCACTATAGAAAAGCGCCCCAGCCTATGTACATGGCAGCGAGATTATCCACTTTAGTTGCCTCATTAATCAAGAAGTTAACCTGACCCTCTGTGGACAAGGGAATGCTGTTTGCCTGCTGCCGCTTGACCTGTGAAGGGCAATGATTCAATTTGAGTAATTGACCCATTTTCGAATCTTCTGTTATTGCTACTCACATGTCCCTGCAGACGTTCCGCAATGCGCTGCACATCGTTCGTGACCTTCGGATCGGTCACCTCGGCGCCGTGTTTGTTCCGGTTGCTGGTCGAGGCCGTAAGACGGCTCTGGACACCCAAATCGTAGACGAACGGCCGCAGCATGGACATAAGCGTTTTGGTCTCCTGCTTTAGCAGTCGCAGCGTTATCTCACAGCACTTGCGGAAGCTGCCCTCCACGCCCAAGGGACCCATGGCCGTGATCATGTTGTGGGTGAGGCGGAAGGGAACCACCTCGGGATAGGCAAACGCCTCGCCCTGATTGAACAAGCAGTTGAAGTCCACGTGCACCGCATCGCCATTGCGCTCGTCGAAGAGTATATTCTCACCATGGCGATCGCCCAGGCCCAGGATGTAGCCCACCATTGACATGACGGCCACGGTGCGTATATACGAGTTGCGTGCCTCATACCAGCCGTGGGGCGTGGTAAAGCGCTGCAGCAGCCACTCCTGGAAAACAGGCGGATGGGCGGGAAGCAGCTGGTTAAGGAACACGGCACGCTTACGCTCTATTGACTCCGTTTGCGGCAAGGCCAGCTGCTGCAGCTGGCGGCCGCTCATCACCTGACCCCGCTGCATGTACAAGGCGATGCAAATGCTGCGATACGAATTCAGATTCGGCAGCCACTCGAGAAGGCCGCACTCCTCATTGAACGGCAGCACGGCATAGGTGCGTATGTGCAGACGCCGCTGGCGGGCACTCGCATCCTGATGCAGATAGCGCTTCATCAGCCCATTGAACTCCATGAGACGTGCATCCTTGCGCAAGTCGTCCTTGGGCTTAACCATGATGTCATAATCCTGCCCATCGCTGCAGCGTATGGTCAGCTTTTTGGGTCGTGCCGCTGAGCGCAGCACGAGCACCTTCTCCTGGAAGCCAGTTATATAGATATGCCTATAGGGGAACCAATTGCTCGTCGAAAGCTTGTTGGCACCCGGACTGGGCGAGGGCGTAGTATCCTGCGCCGAGGATATGTTGAATGTCGGCTGCATATACTTTTCGAAGGGCAGCATTATGTTGGAGAAGTTCGCCTGGCCGCACAGCTGCGGCAGTCGCTTGTCCAGGTCGCTCAGCTTGTAGCTGCGATCGAGGGTGACCTCCTTGTTGGTCACGCAAATCAAACGATCCGTCAAAGTGTTGAAGTCGCTCAGTAAGCGCTGAAATTCGGCATTCTGCAGCCGCTCATCGGTGAGAATCGAATTGCAGCGCTTCACGCGATTCACTGCGGCGGACTTGAAGTGGGGCAACAGCATCCAAAGCGACTGCTGCGGATACTCCCGGATCAGCATGATGATCACAGTGCGCAGCACGGCAAACACCTCGGCCGAGGGATGGCAGAGGCGGCTCAGCATTTGCGAATACGCCGTATAGAACATGCCCGTGGACAGCGCCGTGCAGCAGTTGCTGAGCAGATCATTCATTTTGCGCACCAGCTCCGCATGGCTCGTGCTGGCTGCGGCCGAGGCTGTGGCCGCTGTGTCCAGCCAGAGGCTGATCAGGCGCGGCATGGACTGGTAGACATGGTCGCTGCCATAGCGCAACGATTTCGCATAGTTGACCATAATCTGCAGCAGCAGCTCCTCATCCTCGCGCGTCTGCGTATTGGCCGTGCCGGCGGCTCGCGCCTCACGCATCTTCTCCAGAAACTGGGCCAGCTGGACGAAGCAGCGCTCCGATTTGTGGTGCACAGCGATGGCCTCCTGGAAGTACTTGAGTATGGCGTCGGCGCACAGATTCATCGAGTCCGCATTGTACGTGGCCTGCAGATACTTTCCCTCGAAGTAGAGCTGACGCTGCTCGCCGCTGAGCTGCTTGACGTTTCCCTCGCATTGCTGGACAATCGCCGACAGCTGCTCCTCGAGGAAATTCATGGCCTGCACCTGATCACCCTTCTGCCACAGCAGCTTGGCGCGCTCCAGGAAGAGGCGGCTCGGCTTATACTCCGCCGCCTTCATTAGATAGAGATGCGCGCGCTGCAGCTGGCCCGCATTACGATTGATTTGGGCGCTGTTCAGCCAGAGCTGGGCCAGCTGTGTCCGGAGCTGTGCCTGCAGCGGCGCGCAATCGCCCAGCCGGCGCTTGAGCTCGGCGAGCAGATTGCGTCGAAAGCTGTAGATGGGCTCCAGCACGCGCAGCTGCGGCTGCAGTATCTGCAGTCGAGACTGCCAATCGGCAAAGTAGTTGCGCATCAATTCCGTCTGTTGCTGCTCCGTCTGCTCCTGCTGCAGCGCCGACAGCTGCTCGACCAGCTGATGGCTGCACTGCAGCTCGTGCAGCATATGCAGCTTCAGTACATCGTCATAGGCATGTGCATACGAGTGCTGCTGCAGGGCGGAGCAGCTGCGCAGCTGATCCAGCACCGAGCAGCGCATGGACTCCAGCAGCGAATCGAACTCCACTTTGGTGGTCATCGGCTGCCTTAGGGCGAGGCATGCCTGGGCGCACTGAGCGTGCCAGTTGGGCTTGCAGCGGCTCTGCTGCTGCCGTTGGACCTGCAGCTCCTCGAGCTCATCGTAACTGCCCAGGCGCCAGAGCAGCTCTGCCTTGCACTCGCTGAAATACTGTTCCGTGTGCTGATCCGCCAGACGTTGGGAGAGACCGTCGGCAATAAGCAGCGCCGTCTTGGGCGTGTCCATGCGCAAGTAGGCATCGATAATGGCGCGTATGTGCTCCGGCTGCAGTTGCTCCGTGCTGGACAGCAGTTGCTCATAGCATGTGATCATATCCTGCTGGCGTTCCACCAAACGATTCACTAGAATCTCCTGGGTGACGCTCATGTCGCAGCTGCGCGTCTGCACCGCACCCTCCACCGAATCGGCGTCCATCAGCCGCCCATAGAGCTCGACGAGAAACGTGAACTGCTCCAGCAAACGTGCAGTCTTGTCGCCATCTATATAGGCCTCCAGGTAGCGCAGAGCCCGCGCATACTCTCCGCAGTTATAGCTGGCCCGTGCCACACGCAGCTTGTCGATGCGCTGCACGAACCCGTAGATGGCACCGTAGTTGGCGTCCACGTCCTGGGGCGGCTTGCCGGCCATGCTCAGGCCGTGTTGGCGCTGCCATTCGCGCAGCCAGCGCTGAAGGAAGTCCAGCAGCTCGGCACACAGTTTGCCGGCCAATCGGGACTGATCCTCAGCACTGGAGCCAGCCAGGGGATCATCATTAGTCGTTTTAGTGGAGGCTCTATATTTCATCGACTCGAAGAGCTTGTAGCCGCCAGCATTGCGGTTTGTTGCAGTTGGATCGAAGGCAGTTTTTGCTGGTGTCGCCACTTGCTTGGAAAGCTCTTCATTCGCCTGCAGCACCGTCTGGAACTCCTCCTCGATGCGGATACGCTGCTCCGCATTGCACTCGAGCAATGCGTGTAGCAGGATATAGGGATAGAAGGTGCTCAGCATGTTCGAGTCGCGTCGAATGCAGGGCTTGTAGGAGCTGAGCAAGTGACGCGTATCCGACGACTGCACGTAGTCAATGAGGCGCGAGGCCCAGAGGAATGCCCACAGCTCGTAGGAGTTATGCGTGTAATGACTGCCAAAGAGCGGATGCTGTGTCAGCGTGTTGGGCCGTTGCGAGCAGGTGTAGCAGGAGTTGAGCAAGGGTTCCATGATCTCGCGCATACGCACCGGCAGCGACTGCCACAGCTGCAGCTTCTTCTGCTCCTTGGGCGCAATGCCGCAGACGGCGAGTGTTTCCTGTATGGCCAGCGAGAAGCTGTCCACGTGCTTCGTCTTCTGCTGGAACTGATAGCCGCGACAGAGCGCCGTCAGAGCCAGCACGGTGAAGTCATCCGTTAGGACGCTCAGCGGTAGCTGCTGCGAGCTGGCGTAGTTGTAGTTGGAGGGCAAATAGCTTGCATCGATAGCTCCCAATTCGCCCAGGCACTTGGCAGAGGCCAGCTGCAGCGAGCGATCGTCGTGCTGGCTGCCAGACATCAGGATATTGACAATCTGCTCCATGAGCGGTTCCATGGGCAGTTTGTGCAGTATCATATGATTCAGTTGGGCACGACGGCGACCGAACAGCTCGGCCAGATGCTCTAGTCCATAGACGCGTACCTGCAGGCACTCGTTAGTGATTTGCTTATGTAGAAAGCGCAGCTGATCCAGCAGCGGAGCCTCGTCCTCATCCGCCACAGGGCCGTCAAGGCACAGCTGCGCCGTGTGACGCTTAATGCACTCTCTTATAGGCGTCGATACATGTTCCAGGCGCTCCAGAAAATATAAATCTACCACAAGAGTATAAATTATTGAAATATAAAGAGAATTCAGCTATTCATTTATCTACCTTGTATATAGCTGCCCAGCATGGAAGCGTTGCGTAGAATGACAAATTCGTAGAGCTCATTGACCTGCTCCACGCTGTAGGCGAGCAGCGGCTGCAGCGTGGCGACAATGCGACCAAGCGAAGGACCCAGCTCCTGTATGTTCACCACATGAAGAAATATGTGCCAAATCTTCAAGCAAATACGCTGCAGATTTGGCTCTTGCAGCGTGTGCACAAAACTCAACATGGCGATGATCTTAAAGCGAAATTGAGTCACATGTTGAGGGCCGACAAAGCGAAGAATCTGTCCCAGACTGTAGAGTGTCTCCTCCTTCAGGCTCTTCTCGAACGACGCCTCAGACAGACAGCTTTCGAAATAGGTGATGACGCCGAGTATGCGCTCCGCAATGAACGTGGAGAATTGGGCATTGGTTGCCTGCGTGGACAGACTCTCGCTGCCTCCGCTCAGTTGCAGCAGACTTTGAAAGGAACGCATCACAAAGGTTGGATTTCGATTGAAGTAGATTAGCAGCTCGGCTACAGTTTGCTAGGGGAATTCATAGGGATTAGTTTCATTGCAGATTAACAGAAGCAGTTTGAGCACACCTTTACATCCGCATTCATCAGTTCCTGCAAGGTGGATTGCGTGCAGCTGGCCACCAGCTCGATGCAACGATTTGCCAGCTCTGGCGGCTCGCTGAGATGGACGTGAGCATAGAGACGCAAAAAGGACGTCGAGAAGAGTGCAGCAATTGGCTTATGGACTTGTTTGGCAATGAGCACAAAGACGCCCTTGCAGCGCGGCTCCTTAATACAGTAGGGCAGTATCAGGGTGGTCAGCAGGCGGTGGTACTTGCAGGTGAACTCCTGCACGCAGGAGTAGCCCAGCATTCTGGTCAGCTAGAAGATAGGTCATAGATTAAAGGAGCTCTGCAAAGCATACGAAAGACTCACCGCTCGCAGGGAGTGGGTGAAGCGTACTCCCTGCGTCAAATAGGCCTGCAGTGCCAGCTGAACGACTAAGCCGAGCGCATCTCGTTTGTACCAGTTCCACAGCGTGAGCGGCTGCAGGTCGTGGCGTGCGCACAGTTGGCACGCGGCGAGCACAGCTTCCTGGGCGACCAGCGAACGCGTGTGCACTAGGAAAAAGAAGGTCATCTTGAACCAGTGGAAGAGCCAGAGCTCATCGATCTCCGGATGAGCTGCGCACACGATCAGACGCAACAATTTTCGCTGCTGGACCTCGCTCTGCGCCTCCAGAGGCTTCGCTAACATGTCCAAAATCCAGTCGAGCACAAGGCTTGCGAGCTGCTGCATGAAGTCCGGGGATTGAGCAGCTAGCACGGGCACAAGGCGTTCGAAACTGCGCTCGTTGAGTGCCTGCAAATCGGGCGCATTCCTAAGCAAGCTCAGACAGACCGAGGGTTCCAGGTTGATCAAATCCAAGTGATGGGCAATGTAAGTGCATTTTGACTTGAACAGCATAGCATCTACAAATGCATTCAAGGTGGAGCTACTGAAGGACTTGGCAACTGCAGTGCTCGGCTTGCACATGCCCAAATATAAACCAGGCAATGTGGCAGGCAGCTCCTCGCACTTGGAGCAGCATAGTATGATCTTCCGATTCTCTGCCTTGAAGACATGCGCCGTCTCTGGCTGTTGGGTGCACAGCAACAGACGCAGCACAGCGGCCAGCGTGTTGCCGTCCTCGGTGGGCTTCAGCTTGGGCAACATTTGCTGCAGGTGACCGGATTTGATGTAGCCTGCCACATACAGCTGAGGCAGATGCTCGCAGAGGAGCTGCACAATGTCCGCCTGCTCGGCGTTAAGCATCGCCAGACACTTCTGTGCAAAGAAGCTCTGCAGCTGGGTGTGAGCACTAGATGGGATCTCCAGGCGGAGCGTGGCCAAAGCAAGCAAGGCCTGAGTTTTCTTCTCCTGCTCCGATGACTGCAGAGCGCGCTGCAGCACGCCCAGAAGCTGCTGCTGTGTATGTGGCTTCAATTGCAGACGCAGGCAGGTGCAGTGCAGCAGCAGAGCGCAGATCTCCATGAACTCCGGACAGGCCACGCACAGAGAATCCTCCAAGAGCTGGGCACTCAGTACATTCCAATTGCTGTTGGCATCGGTGTGCAGCGCGACCTCGTGATGCTGCGGCAGTTGGGCGAGCAGCTCAGCGTTAAGTGCCTCATCACTGGCAGCCACGAGCTCCTGCTGATTGGCCATCAGCAGCAGCCGCTCCATATGCTTGAGCCCACGCAGCACAGCCAACAGTTCGGGCAGCTTCTCGGGCGTAGGCTTCGCCAACAGTCGAGCCAGACTCTGGCTGAGCATCAACGAGATTTTATCTCTAATTGCGGGCTGCTTGGCAGCAACTGCAGCGAGTAAGGACAGTAGAGGTCCAGGATTGCCACGCCACTGACGCAACAGAAGCTGGCAAGTGTTGGCAGGCAGCATTGAGCTCGCCTCCTTCAGCTGCTCTCGCAGATAGTCGCACAGAACCTGGAGCAGATGGCAACGCCAATCGCTGGCCGGTTGAGACAGCACCTCATGCAAAAGTTGGCAACACAACTCAAGGCAATCAGGATTCGACATCTTTTGCCTTGTAAACACTAGTAGTAGCTGCTCGGTGTGCGTGACTAGCCGCTCCAGCTGCGCCTGCGTCATGCACTTGTCTTTCCAGCGACTGATTAGGGACCACATTAGAGCCAGAGCTCGCAGCGTGAGGGCTGCATAGTGAGCCACAGCTGCGCTGTTCGACCAACTGGTTGTGGTATGTGCTTGGAGCACAGAATGACAGTAGCTTAGACATGTCAGCTTGGTGTCCATGTTGCACTCTTTGAGAGTGAGCAAAGCCTGATGAAGACTCTCGGCGAACTGATCGCTGTGCGTGGCATGGCCGATATGATGTGCCTGTTGTAGAACTAGCAGCAGATACTTGGCATATGCATCCGATTTGTCCAGCTGCAGTGTAATCACTTGGAATGCACATTGATCATCGAACTCCTGCAGCACACTGGAGTCGCAGCGAAAGATGTGCAAATGCAAAGTGCGCAATTCTTTGCAGTTCTTGTCGGGATTAGTGTAGTCGAAGGCGCTCATCTTGTCATAGAGCTGCTGTAGCGCCTCCCTGTAGGCCTCTACGAGACGCCCGTAGAGTTTCGGATGGTTGCACCAGCAGGATAACAAAAGCTTCTGCTGTAGCTGCACATTTTTCAGACACTGTCTAAATTTATCAATTAACACATATATAGAGAAAAGGGGTCTATCCACTTACCCCTCATCCGTACAGTCGCTCAAACAAACAGACAGTTTGTTTAGTAGCCACAGCAGAAAAGCATCCTGGAATTCGCTTTTTAATTCGTTCACAGATGAGCAGCTGATGAGACTTGGATCCTGACAGAGAATGTCATCAACAACATTGTATACAGCGGATAAATTGCTTTGGTTGCGATTCACCAAATTGTACAACAATTTCCACATGTCCTTCCGCCGGCCCGACATATTGATGAATCTATTATTTGAAATATCAAAATGCGAGGGCCGACATTTCCATGCAACATATCAACGTTGCCAGATCACCAAAACAAACAAATTGCGACAGTTTGAAAATACCAAAGAAATATACTAATCATCATATGGCACCTAATAGACTAGCAGCTGTTAATATTTGAAATTCTGACACAGCTCAATAGTTTTCACAGGGCATTATTTACTAATTCATACCAAATTAAATATAAGCTCATAAAAAAATACTGTAGATCGAAAGATCAAATCAAGGAAGACTTTACCTGAGATAATAAATTTTGCTTTAGTCGAGAAGTAAATGATGTATGTCTAATATACATATGTAGAGCTTATCATTAGTTTGCGTCACATAATTTGTGTTTTTGCACTGTAGTATCAGTTTTGATGATCGATTTTGAGCTACGATATCTTAAACTATCTACACATTTTAATAAATATTATTCCGCACATGGAAGTCGTCACGCGAATGTAATGGAATAGTTATTAAACAATCGACTCAGCGGATCCAAAGACCAGGAATATGATCCAGCCGATCAAGTTAATGCCAGCCGCCGCACTAAAGACCATTGGCCAACTCTGCGTCAGCTCCAGGATGTGGCCTGCCAGGTACACGCCAAGGAAGCCAGGTATGGCGCCCACTGTGTTCATAAGGCCAAAGACGCTGCCGGAATGCAAGGGCGCTAAGTCTTGAGGATTCACAGTCACCGCGTTGTTGTGGAAGCCTGTGCCGCCAATGATGATGGTCATACAAATTAGAGCCGTGTGGAAGTCCGTGGTGCGGCTCATCACAAACAGCGCCACGTTTTGCGAGGCAAAGCAACAGCTTTGAATTAACTTCCGCACTGTTGTCGTAGACCACTCCCGGGCTATGAGCCGTGTGGTCAAGTACTTGGCGAAGAAGGTGCACGGCGGCAATGCCAGCCAGGGTATCATGTTGACCACCCAGCCCTTGGCATGGGGAAACCCATCGTGGAAATATGTTGGCAGCCATGAGAGCAGCACAAAGAAGCAGTTCATCTCGCAGGCGTGCGTCAGCACACAGGCCCAGAACGACAGCCGACTAAAGAAACGCAACCAGGGCACAGACGCCTCCGTGAGCGCCTTATTACCGCAGAGGCGCGCCGGTGTCGAGATATTAATGATTCGATTGCGTTCCCCAGCCATGGCATAATAGCGTAATACCAGAGCCCAGGCGAGCCCCATCAAGCCGATCACACGAAACACATACGACCAGCCGAAGTAGTCCAGCACAAAGGAGCCCAAGATGCCAGTTAAAAGCGTCCCCATGGCCGAGCCCGAGGTAAGCAGGCCAAAGAAGCTGCTGCGCTCACTTTGACAAAGATTCTGCAAGCAGAAACAACATCAAAAATATATAAAGATAAAGCTTTCAAGTGTAATCTTTTACCTGACTAGTCAAGCTGATCATGCTTGGAAAATGCACGCCCTGCAGCGCACCGTTAAGAATTCGTATGGTCACAATGATTGGTATCGTATAGCTCTTGACCGACGCCGCCGACCAGATAATCGTGGGCATTAGAAATGTGATGATGGACCATCCAAGGGCAGCAAACAATATAACACGCTGCCCACCGAAACGATCGCTGAAATAGCCGCCCATCACCTGGGTCAGCGTGTAGCCCCAGAAGAAGGAGCTGAGCACTGTGCCGGAATCGGTTTTGCTCCACTTTTGTGCGGCTGCCACCGCAGGCACCAGCAGCGGCATCGTCGTGCGGGTCGAATACAGCATACAAGTGCCCGTGAGGAGCGTAATGAACCAGACGCGTTTTTCATGCCTGCAAATGAGTATAAGTATTTGAATAAGGAGACTCGATGATATAACCTAGTACGTGCCTGCTCCAAATACTTTGTGTGTCCACAAGTTCGCCACGCAGCAGCGAATACTTTAGTTTTTCGTCCATAACGGAGCTGTCGATGATGGATTATAGTATTTACTGCTGATACTGAACGTCCCTCACGCCATGCATTTCAATTTCCGCAGCTGTGGCGCTTGTCGCTTAAGCATTTTTATTATCACAACAGTCCAAAACTTTAGTTGGGTTTCTCTTTATTTACAATAAACTATTTCTTTACTTGCGTACGTTGGCGTTGGCGTTTAGTTTTTACGTGGCCAATTTGCTGCTTGGGATTAAACGGTATTTAGTGAGCTACAAATGCAAAACTATTGAGTTTGTGCGTTCCATCTATGCGCTACTTTACAGAGTTGAGCTGCCAATCTAAATAATATATTTAGCGATCCGTTTTGCTACACATTCACCACAATGTAATTTCAAATTAAAACTCAAAATATTATCAATAAATTATTGTATTGTATATATTATCTATTTATGTACATTGAATTAGCTTTGTATTAAATGCCTTGTGTAGCGCACACCAGCCCTTGCCACATATTCCGACCGAAATCAGCTGTTTTTGCGCTGTCATTTACAAATCACAGATGCAATGCACTGTAGTGCTACCATACATTTTATGTTGGCGCGTAATTTGAATTTTTATACCTTAATTATCGTAGTATATAATTCGATTAGCCAACATATTTAGTTTTATTTAAATTAAATCGCGACTAGCGAATATTATTGAAAAGAACGGGAAGGAAAAGGAAGGGAAGACAAAACAGAAAGAATGATAATTAAAGTTTGTTTTTTGTTTTTTTGTTTTTATTATGTATATAGATATTTAATTCATGTGTAGAATAGCAGGATAAGACAAATAACGTGAAATAAATACTCTAGCAATGCGCTGATATAAACAGTTACTCGTCCAGCGTGAGATGCACATTAGCGGAGGGATGCAGGCCAAGCTCCTTCAATGTGGCCTCATTGTGCTCCGCTTCGAGAGACTTGCGCGGAAAGGCACAAATCAGCTTGTAGCCCTCCAATGGTATGTGCTTGTGCGTTTGGCGTATATATAGGCGTAAGGTCTTTAACTTGGTATCCGAAGGCCACCTCAATTGGATGACCTCTTCGCCGCCGGCGGCGTCGAGTAGACGCAACTTCAATGCAGTTAGCTCCTCTGTCTGAGAGCCCAATTGAGCATCGTAAGAGATGGCGGCGCCTTTGAGTTCATCCTCGTCAAACTCCTCCAGGCTCTCACAGTCACTGGCATTGTTGTTGGCGTTGTTGTTGGTCGCATTTGTGGTGGTTTCTGCAGTTCCACCGTTTTCATTCATTGAGTTCTTGATGGCTAGGGCCAGTTGCTCCTCCTCGGTTAGTTCCAGCAGCTTGGCTCGTTTCTTGGGAATGCCACCGGTTGAAGAGGAGCACGAGGCAATGTCTTCCTGATCATCGTCGTCATCGATTTGTATGGATGTGCGTTTTGAGGAGCTTGCCTCTTCGAGAGAAAAGCCACGATGATCGCGCAAAAATTGCCGCAAGTCCGGCAGAACATTTTCTTGATTGGGCTCTGGACTACGCCAGACCTCCTCGCCCGTGCGTGGATCGATGATACACAAATAGGGCAGCTTGGCACAGTGATAAAAGGCCACAAACCGCCGTCCTTCCGAGCTATCGTTGTCCACCTGCCAGAGCACAAACTGTCGACGTACTAGTTGCTTTAGCTCCTTGCTGCTCCACACATCGCGATTCATTGTCTGTGATTGAAAATTGTCGCCCTGTACGTTAACAAGCAGCCAGCGCTCGCGCTTGCTGGCAAATTCACGAGCCGCTGCCAGGGATCCAGAGTATAGAATATCTGTGGGCGGGCGGAAGAGATCACCAAGGCGGGATGAAGTGCTGCCGCCTGAGCGGCCCTGTAACGACATGGCTTGCCCGGCCACAACCATTTGGGCCGAACGCTCGCGACGTCGACGATGTGTACTCGGATCGGAGTAAACGCCAGTGGCTTGAAGCTGTTCCTCCATTAAGGCGCCCTCGCGTGCAAAGTCACGCAGTGGGCAAACTTTAACTCGCTGGGAGACGCGAGACAAACGACTGTTATTACTGCTTCCAGACGCAAAAAAATTATCATCCTCCGGTAGAATCAGTTGCTCCCGCACTGGTGCAATGGGTGCACGCACCTCGTCCTCGTCTGCAGCGCCTGCCGTGGATGCGGATGTAGAAGCGCCATTGGTGGCACTATTGCCGTTGCCACCTTGCTCGAAAAACAAAGCAACGGCTGCCGCCACATCGTTGGCACAGGCGCCAAGATAGTGTTTTGCCTCCTCCGCAGTGCAAGCAGTCACTTCCACCACGCGCTCGATTAGCTCGTCTGTTGTTGCTGCATTGCCACTCGACATTGCGGTGCAGCGAGTCAAATGGACTTTATCGATTTCTTAAATTTAGAAGTTTGTGGATTTGTCGTATAATGCTCAAAGCTGACACTTGAAACAAAAACTTAAACTTTTATTAGATGTGAAATGCAAATGTATGCAAACTTGTAGTGCTGTAAGGCGCTCGAAATATGTGAGGTATTGTTTGAGACTAAACAGCACAGAGTAATCGGTACTATCGATATATAATATCAAATAGAGAAGAGAGTATGTTGTAACTGCTATTTCTAGATATAATTCCTCATCGTATTCATCCCTAAATTTGCACGGCTTCTCTCTCCAACACAGATTGTAAATAAGGCAGCAACAGTTAAATTCCCAGTCACAGGTACATCGACTGTGCGCATCTCTAATCAACAGTATATCTCTGCGTCGGGTGCACGCAAAAAACGGTTCGCGATAAGACTTCTTAATTATAAAAATATAATTCTCAAAATAATGACTAATGCGCGCGTAGTCTAAATTCACCAATGCCGAAAAGTCTTGTGTATGCGTAACGCCCGGTAACGGCTTGCAACAAAGCCACTGCGCCAATAGGGAATACCAATTCCAATACAAAGCAAAAATTACAAGTTCTCACTTTGTGCCTCTATAGTATAACGGAAGAATGTGTTAAGTGTGCGTTAAATAGTTGCAAGATTTATTGAAAGCGTTATCATTGGCTGCTGCTGCTCCTGCTGGCTGAGTGCATTCGATCTGTTAATCGCATCTCGCCCGCTGCCTCTCTGCTGACGTCACAAAATGGTCTCGTTGATAAAAAACCAATTGCTCAAGCATTTGTC